ATTTAGCAATATGTCAGTTCTGATAAAAAGATTTGATGAGGAAAAAGATGACACAATTACATGAAATGAGTTTGGGGAATTACCAATAGATTTCAATTATCCATGGTACTCTCAGTGAAGGCTGATTGACTGTGAAGAGTGGCGATTTATCAGGACAGCCTTGCTACTTCTCAGATGTAACTGTCCTTGTTCTTTTTGCCTTTTTTTGTACAGAACATACATTGCATGTGCATTTAACACATGGACCTTCACTTTCTCTGTTCTGTAATCTGTGATTAACAAGATTTTAAAGAATTAGCTTGCAGTATTATTTAATGATAAAATAATTAATAATGGCATAAAACCATTCGCTATTAAATGACTTTTTATTGGGTGCTTTTGTTCTGGATACAAAGAAGAAGAAAACACTGGTGAACTACTCTTTTGAAGAGAAGGTAAGCAATGAGAGCCCCGCAGTGTTTGACATGTGGCATATACAGTTACTAAATTGTCTTTTAAATGCAATTTTTATGTAAGCTTGACAGAATATTTGAAATGAAAGAAATGTGCTATAAATATTAAAAAATATATTACCAGGAAAGGTACTGACTTCTTCACTAATTTGTAGCAGCCCTTTCCAAGTTTGGGTGTATATTCTCTTTCTCAATTCAAATCTTGATCATCCTTCTGAGTACTTTCTGCTGAACTTGCTGATGTCTATTGCAAATGTAAGGATGATCTTGGCTCTTAGCTTTTAATGAAAACAAAACCTGTTTTCTGCTGATTTACATAGGCACATCTCGGAGATATTGTGGATTCAGTCACAGATCCCCACAACAGAGCAAATGTCACAATAAAGGGACTCACAAAACTTTTGGCTTCCCAATGCATATAAAAGTTATGTCTGTATTATACTATAGTCTATTAAGTGTGAAATAGCATTATAACCAACAAAGTATGTAGCTTAATTAAAAATACTTTGTAGCTAAAAAAATGCTAGCAATCATCTGAGCCTTCAGCGAGCTGTAATCCTTTTGCTGGTGAAAGATCTTGTCTCCTCCAGGTTGATGGCTACTAATTGATCAAGGTAGTGGACACTGAAAGTTACCTTACAGTAGCTGTTGCAATTTCTTAAAATAAGACAGCAATGAATGTTGCCACATTGATGAACTCTGTTTTCACCAAAGACTTCTCTGGAGCATGCAATGCTTGCTATTCAATAGCATTTTACCCACAGGAGAACTTTCAAAATTGGAGTTAGTCCTCTCAAAATCTGCTGCTGTGTTATCAATTAAGTTTATGTAATATTCTGAATCCTTTGTTGTTGTTTCAAAAACTTTCACAGCATCTTCCCCAGGAGTAGAGTCCATCTCAAGAAACTACTTTCTTTCCATAAGAAGTAATTCCTCATTCCTTCAAGATTTATCAGGAGATTGCAGCAATTCAGTCATTCTTCAGGCTCTACTTCCAATTCTAGTTTTCTTGTTATTTCAACTACGTGTATTGAACCCTTCAGTCACTCGTGAGAGTTGGGATCAACTTTCAAACTCATGTTTATGTTAATATTTTGACATTCTCCCATGAATCATAAATGTTCTTCATAGCATCTAGAATGGTAAATCCTTTCTAGAAGATTTTCTATCTACTTTGCCCAGATCCATCAAAGGAATTATTATCTATGACAGTTATAGGCTTATTAAATGCAGTTCTTAAACATTAACACTGGAAAGTCAAAATTACTCCTTGATTCATGGGCTGCAGAATGGGTTGTGTTAGCAGGCATGAAAACATTATTAATTTCCATGTATATCTCCACCAGAGATCTCAAGTGACCAGATTCATTGTCAATGAGCAGTAATATATTTTGATAGGAATCTTTTTTTTTTTTTTTCTGAGCAGAAGGCTTTAACAGGGGGCTTAAAATATTCAGTAAACCATGCTGTAAACAGATGTGCTGTAATCTAGGCTTTGTTGTTCCATTTACAGAACCCAGGTAGTAGATTTAGCATAATATGTAGGGGCCCTAGGATTTTTGGAATAGTAAATGAGCATTGGCCGTCACTTAAAGTTACCAACTTCATTAGCCTCTAACAAGATGGCTTTTCCTTGGAGCAGTCGGAGCGCACGCATTTACTGATTAAGTTCATCATCTTATTTGGGTGCAGTTCATGGCTTCCAAAACAATTACCATAGTAACGTCGAAGACCGCTGGTAACAGATCACTACAACAGATATAATAATGAAAAGTCTGAAATACTGAGAGAATTACCATAATGTGACACAGCGTCACTAAGTAAGCATGTTCTGCTGGAAAAGTGGCACCAATGGACTTGCTGGATGCAAGATTGACACAAACCTTCATTTTGTAAAAGATGCAGTACCTGCTAAGTCCAATAATGTGAAGTAGAGTAAAACAAGGCATGTCTGTTGTTATCTTGCATAATAGTTTAACTTATGAATTATTATTTGACTTTTTACAAGAGAAACCAGTATTATATCCCAAACCATGCTGTGAATTCATTAAGAGTGAGGGTCATTTATGACCTATCTTTGTATTTCTCCCCAAGATCTAACAGAGTTTTGAATGTATTTAGGTTGGGCCATACAAAATTGCCTATATTTGATCATTTATGATCTGTAAAAAAGACAATTTAATATGTTAAATTTCCCAATAGTTATTCTAGAAATAATTGTGAAATGAGTCAGATTATGTTACAATTTTACATTCTTATTTGTAAACATATACATTGATGTATACATTACACGTTTAGACATATGTATACACACGCAAAATATATATGCTAATGAAGTCATTTAGCATTAAAGATTAGCTTTAGTTTTTATTTTTATTTTTTTTTGAGACAGAGTATTGCTCTACAGCCCAGGCTGGAGTGCAGTGGCATGATCTTGGCTCACTGCAACCTCTGCCTCCCAGGTTCAAGCAATTCTCTTGTCTCGGCCTCCCGAGTAGTTGGGACTACAGGCACCTGCCACCACACCCAGCTAACTTTTGTATTTTAGTAGAGTTGGGGTTTCACCATATTGGTGAGGCTGATCTAGAATTCCTGACCTCAGGTGATCCACCCACCTCGGACTCCCAAAGTGCTGGGATTACAGGCGTGAGCCACCACGTTCAGCACCAGTTTTAATTTTTTTTGAGTAGACATCCAGGCCCAAACAGCCCTTTCAGTTCAGTAGCTTCTAGATGGGATTTTTTTTTTTTTAAAGGAATAAATGTGACCACCTCTTTTCCAGGGAAATAACTGTAGCTGAGATAACAGATCATAAATCCCTAACTCTCTAGGAATGGTAATACCTATACGGAATTATTTTCTGTGATTGTATGCTTGCTGATAATATTCTTCTGTAGAGTGATATTAGTGATAGAGATCTTTATTGTGAGTGCATGAAGTGTGCCAGGCACTGCTGTAAACATTTCACATCAATTAATTCATTGAGTCCTCACTTCAATCTTGTAAAATAGATAATACTATTTTCTTCATTTTTCACCTGAGGAAATTGAGACATGAAGTAAAGTCATTTGCTCAAGATCACACAAGTAATGATGGAACTGGCTGTTAAATTCAGGCAGTCTGGATTCAATTCTTCTTTTAAATACCACACAACTTTGTATCAATAAACATATATGTATTTTAAAAAATTAGAATAAGCTAAAAGTTATTTAGCCCTGTAAAAGGTACAGATTATGATGAAGCATTTACAATTTGGAGTTACAGAGTTTGACAGAATATACCTACGGCTTGGAGACCTCTTTCATAAATCGATTTATAAACTATTAGCTCTTTTATGACTAACTTGCAATCATTTTGAATTATAGTGCATTAGTTTCCTTCATCAAAAAGTGGAATTTATAGCACCAGTTACTTTGCAGGAATCTGTAAGAGGAGAAAGAATAATAGATCTTACAACATGGGCTAATAAGAATCCTTAATTAAATAGAAAGTTTTGTCACATTTGGTTATGAATGAATGTGTGGAAATACTTTTGTAAAATTATGTTTAATGCTACCTTTCTGTAATAAGTATATTTTTAGTACAGATATTTGTTCATTTCTCTAATACTTGAAAACTAAAAACTTATACAAAAGTCACACAAGCAGAGAATTATTAATGCTGCTTAACTGGGTATATATATATACACACACAGACATACATATATGTGTATATATATGCATGCATATAATGTATATTACATATATACACAATACATACACATAAACAATATGCTTAGTAACAGAATTTGTGTTAATTTACATCTATAAGTTTTTTATAATTTAATGTTTTTGCAATAAATGAAATAACTCAGTGTGATTGCTTCTGAATTGGGATGAGAAGAAACATATACTACCCTGGAATTCAGCATCAAATAGTGACAAAAGCATTAGATGGGGAACTAGGATCGTGGGCATTTTACTTCAAGTTTTGGGGCCTTAGTGCTGATTGGCTGGAAAAATGAAGTAGTCAGATTCTATGATTTTATGTTGTTCAAGGGTTCTTGCAAGTATCTTAGAGCGTAATTTTTTTTATCAGCTCTTAGGTCTATGTTCTAGAAAATACAATTCTGTTTTTCTTAGTAAAATAATCCCAGCATACCCTTTGTTTTATGGAAATATCAAAAGCAAAACAGCCCTACAATTTTCTTAGATACAGATTTAGTAACTTAATATAATATGTTGACTCATTCAAAACCCATGAACATTTTTCTGAAAGGAGATGCAAGAAACTGTTATTCATGGCTAAGTTTAAGAAGTACTGGCGAAAAGTCTTGCGTTGATGTAGTATGGCAGTGGAGGCTTATAATTTTCTATGCCTGAATTTTCTCATCATTTCCATAAGTTAAAATTTTAATGTTATCAAGGCTTACTTGGGAAAGCTAACCGTGGATCATTTTGTTGTTTGTTTTTATTGTTGTTCCTACTTTAGGAAGAGAGCTTAAAATTTCCAATTAAATCAGTGTTCAAGTTCAACAGTCAAGAAGAAAGTGGCGTAAGCCAAGGTTACCTTCTTGCAGGCAGTGATGGAGTTCCCTGGGCCGCCTCCTGAGTTGCCACAGCCTCTGCCCTGCTGTGGTCCCAAAACGTCATACATCCGTGATGACTCCAAGTTGCTGTTTGTGACCCAAAACACAAAAACACATTCCAGTGAGTCATCTCTATATTTAGAAATAAAGAATAAATCACAACGTGGTGTATCAAAAATCATCTTTTCAGATTGCATTAAACACTGCAAATCCCATTGCTGAAATGGATATTTCTTTGTTGCATACACTGTTATAATTGGTGGAACCACTATAGATGATCCTACTGTGACTGTAAAACTGCAACCCAATGCCTTCCACAGTGCTTTGAGGGACATAATTGCATCTGTCTGACTACTAGCCTTGTTAGCATCTTTTCTTAAGCAATCGGTTTTAAAACCCAAATACATTTTTCTCAATTGTCACATTAATCCAGCTCTGAAAACACCAACACATAACAAATACTCATTTTATTTTTTAAAATGGAGGTAAAATATAATTTTAATTTGGACTCAGTATAATGCCATTAAAAAAAGTGTGAACTTTAGAAAATGCAAGTAATCTCTTTATCATCTCTGTGGCTGGAGAGAGCTCCTCAAATTCTCTATCTCCAAAAGTATAGACTTACACCCCCTGCCCCCTTGCCAGCTCTGTCAAATCTTGATGGGCTTGACTACACACAGAGTTGTATTAATATTTTTAAAATATTTAAAATTGGCTGAGCACAGTGGCTCACGCCTGTAATTCCAGCACTTTGGGAAGCTGAGGCAGGCGGACCATTTGAGATCAGGAGTTTGAGACCTGCCTGGCCAACACAGTGAAACCCTGTTGCTACTAAACATATAAAAAAATTAGCCAGGCGTGGTGGCATGTGCCTGTAATCCCAGCTACTCCGGAGGCTGAGGTATGAGAATTGTTTGAACCTGGGTGGCGGAGGTCTCTGTGAGCTGAGATCATGCTACTACACTCCAGCCTGAGCGACAGAGTGAGACCCTGTCTCAAAGCAAAGCAAAGCAAAACAAAGCAAAACAAAACAATGCTGGGTGTCGTGGCTGACACCTGTAATCCCAGAACTTTGGGAGGCTGAAGTGGGTGAATTGCCTGAGCTCAGGAGTTTGAGAACAGCCTGGGCGACACGGTGAAACCCCATTTCTCTTAAAATACAAAAAATTAGCCGGGCTTGGTGGCGCACACCTGTAGTACCAGCTACTTGGGAGGCTGAGGCAGGAGAAGAGCTTGAACTCAGGAGGTGGAGGTTGCAGTGAGCCAAGATGGTGCCACTGTACTCCAGCCTGGGTGAGAGAGTGAGACCCTGTCTCAAAAAACAAAAAACAAACAAACAAAATAAATAAATAAAAAATTAAAAAATTAAAAAATTGCTTCTATGTTTTCAAGATGTGATAAAAATGAAAATCATTATCAATTTTTTTAATAATATGACTAGAAACTCAAAATTGAACCTCATTTAAATATAAAAACTCTCTAAATGTTATATGCATTTCTAAATATTTTTCTTCTGAAAATATAATAATTTGGACTTTTAAAATGTACTGACAGCTTAAGTCTATATGTTTAATTTTTGTTGTTGTTGTCCACACAGAACAATGCACAATTCATTAACATTACTTTTGGAATACGATCTGATAGTTCTGTATAAAATTTTCAGTGCAAAAGGTAGATGTTTTCTCTTAAAACAAGTGCCAAATAAAAGATCAGTTAAACAAACAATTTATTTCTAACTAACTTATAACTCTCATGTTTCAAGCACTAAATTAATCAATTTTCAATTAGCCATAAGTCAAACAGGGCATTAGTGTAGTCTTTTGGCATTTCCATTATTATGGAATGACATTTTAAAAAATGACTACTGACTGTGCTGTGTAACAAATCATAGATTCAGGTAAAATCTCCACAGAGTAATTAAAATAAAATCTGTTTTGTTAGAATTTTTTATATATTACTTTTTGAGCAATTGTCACTTGAGGGCTAGAGTGAACCTAATGTATGTGAAAGGATAACATCCATATTATCTTTGCTTAGCTGAGGAACGATTAAAAAAGGAAGGAAGGAAGGAAGGGAGGAGGGAAGGAAAGAAAAAGAGAAAGAGAGAAGAAAAAAGGAAGGAAGGAAGGAAGAAACAGAAAGAAAGAGAGAGGGAGAGAGGGAGAAGAGGAAGGAAGAGAAGGAAGGAAGGAAGGAGGGAGGGAGAAAGAAGGAAGGAGGGAGGGAGAGAGAAAAAAGAAGGAAGAAAGGAAGGAAGGAAAGAAGGAAGGAAGGGAAGGAGGGAGGGAGGAAGGGAGAAAGGGAGGAGGAAGGGAGAAAGGGAGGAAGGAAGGAAGGAAAGAAAGAAAGAAGGATAGAAAGAAGGACAGAAAGAGAGGAAGAAAGCAAGAAAAAAAAATTAGTTGCATTTCCTGGCTGCCAATCCCAACCTATTCTGCCACGTAGCCTTTCTGAGTCTTAGTCTCATCATTTATAAATGACATGTTTGGACTAAAGTCTGTGGTTCCCTCACAGCTCTGGAAGTCACCTGGCAAGATATCAGAGATGACCTAGTTTTCAGCCCCTGTCTTTACAGGTTTCCTACAATGTGGGCCTATAACTTTTTAGGCTGCCATTTACTTCAAACCCAAGTGTGGACGTCTCTCTGAATGCTTTCTTGTCCACAGGACAGTTTGGCTTTTACCAAAAGGCCAAACGGCTATTACTGTTAAGTTCCAAATAGTTTACATGTGGAAGATAAGGCCATGCACCAAGCTAATTTTGATCTATAAAAACTTGACTTCTAAGTCAAGTTATATGACTCCTTCTAGGAGCCAGCCAAGGCCCTGTGTGCAGTTCAGAGAGACAAGATCTAGGGTACCACAGCTCTGTGTCCTGTTGCTACTGTGTCCTCCAGGCAGCTTTGATGGGCTAGTAGATCCATTCCATGCAGGCCATCCCTGGACTTACTCCCAGTGCTAAGACATCTGCCGTGATTTTCAGAGGCTAGAGATAGCAGGAGTAGGAAATGGGCAAAGTGAGAAGTAAGGCTGACACAGACCTCAGGCTGCTCCTTTCAGATATGAAACATTGTAGAAAGATCACTTTGAGTCCGGGCGCAGTGGCTCACACCTGTAATTCCAGCACTTTGGGAGGCCGAGGTGGGCAGGTCACCTGAGATCGGGAGTTCAAGACCAGTCTGACCAACATGGAGAAACCCCATGTCTACTAAAAATACAAAATTAGCTGGGCATGGTGGTGTATGCCTGTCATCCCAGCTACTCAGGAGGCTGAGGCAGGAGAATCGCTTCAATCTGGGAGGCAGAGGTTGTGGTGGGCTGAGATCGCACCATTGCTCTCCAGCCTGGGCAACAAGAGCAAAACTCTGTCTCAAAAACAAAAAACAAAACAAAATAAAACAAACAAACAAACAAAAAGCAAAAAAGCACTTCAACAGCCTCTGGTCACTCTGGAAGGAAATCACATCTAACTTGGGCAGAGATGGTTAGGTCCAAATTTGGGGTAATGTAACAATAGAGAAAACTAAAAGGTCAGCCTTGAAAATTACATATTTGCCCATAAAGCACTTTTATTTATAGCTTTAGATAGACAACCTGCTACAGTACTTTTTATGCACTCAAAAGTTTAAGAACTGCTGAGCTCATCTAATAGGAGGAAGTAATGACAAGTCTACCCACAGATATCTTGGTATGAAAGTTTTTCTGCCTCTAAGATGACTGTAAAATCCTCGTTGAAAACGAAGGTATGGAAGGGAATTAGAAAGTTTTTTTGCTTGCCTGCAAGGCTGATGCCATTTGTTCTAATGCTAAGCCCGTACAGCATTAACAAATAAATTTAACTATATATATGCACATACATATTTGTTCATTGTTGTGAGTATTAAACGAGGAAGTTGAGTCACATGGTGGGGCAAAAATTAATGCATTACTAGATGACAAGTGTGATGCAACTCCACTGCACCCACATTTAAAGCAAATGCATCTTCTGAAACACATTGTATATCATTTTAATGATGCCTCATATCAAAGAAAATGTAGGTAGGCTTATGTTTTAAAGCACCTGATGTGGGTGTGCATTTCCAGTAGGTGACTTTACAACATGGCCCAGTCTGTTCCCATACCTTTTGGATGGAGAGAGAATTTTTAGAGTATTTACAATGATGCTGTCCTTGCTCTTTAGAGAAGCAGAACGTTTGCTGTTACAGGACGAGGCGGAGATGGCAGTGATATGAAACTCATGCCTGTATTAAAATGAGCTGAAATCGACATTAAACGAATGGCTGCCAAGAGACAGGACAGCTTTATAACTTGCTCCTAACGGGTAAGGCGGCAAATTCTTCCCTGGGACATTTTCCTTTGATTTTGACAAGTGTTGACAATATTTATTAAGCACGACCTTTCAAACTGGTTTCATGCTGAAACTGTTAAGTGTGTTTCAATGAGGATGTAGATAAAGATGGGAAAGAAGCGACGAAGCTGAATTTGAAGTAGCGATGTTAAACCAGATTTCTATAAAGCAGCTTTCTTTATAGAACAATTTCATATACTAATAAATGAGATGCTACGTTGCCACCGTATTGCTACCACTGCAGTGACTCATGCAATATGAATAACTAGGTCACATCAATAGTGAAAATAGCCTAGGGAATAGCCAGTTATTTCCCTAGAGAGAATCGTATCCAGTTACTGGAAACTGAGTTGTCCATACATTGCGTTGCAAAGTTTGGTCCATGGACCAGCAGTATTGGTGTCACTTGGGAGCTTGTTGGACACCCAGAAACTCAGAGCTACTGAGTCAGAATCTGCATATTGACATTAAACTCAGGTAATTTATACATCCATTAGAGTTTGAGAAATGCTTATATAACATATTAAATTGAATTCACATTCCATTTGCCTGTGGGACATCATTGTGATACTGAGAAAAATAGATCGGAGTAAAAGAGATTGGGCAAACATAGATAAAGAGGCCCGGGTGTAATATCCTCATGATATTACTTTGGTTAGGAATATTCTACTAGTCCTCACCTTCCCTTCTTGATAAATCCTACTCTCTCCTTTGGGTCTCGGCTTATAAATTACCTCTGG